TACATTTCCTTTGATCTCGGAACACATCAAGAATTCAAAGAGAGCACGGTGAATTTTCAACCATTTTTTGTCGTCTCATAACATTAAAACGTTAGAAGGATTTGTGAGTCTCAAATTGACTAACTACTGAAGCATTTAGACTTGGTTTTCTACAACTCGATGTTTCATGGCAACGAATAAATAGATATAAAGAATATGTATTGAAATTTATATTCCCAATCTGATAGGATAACAATGGACACTGTACAACGGTACAAGAATACTTTCCTCTGCAAAAAATGTTCTACTGACTATAGTCTAAGCTCTAAGTACTGTAACAGTCTATCAAGATCTACTCATACTAGAGATCATGTCAAGGAAGGTATCCTCAGGACAAGGTATTGTGAGTCCACCCATAGGATGATCGAATCCAAATTCTTCTTCAGCTTGACTTAACAAGTCTTGAAAGGAATTGTCTTTCAGGTATGAAATTGGAATGACAAAGCGCTTCTTCTCACTCTCCCCAACATAAACAGTAAAGTGACCCTTAGGTATCTCACTTTCTCTGTTTGCTCTTGAAGAAGACCTCCTGAGTACTTGCTTAGGACGGAGGATGTGTCCAATACTGATTGCCATGTTCAAATGTTTCTGGAAGTGTTACTTGAAGAAGTTAAGCTGGAGAAAAAAAACTCTGAATGCAGAAAATGTGTATTTCAAATGAAGGAATTCCCTTGAGATGAGTGGGGTGGATACCAACTTATACTCCGTATGTGTTTATATAGATCTATGATCTAAGGAGGTGGAATGAGTGGGTAAAACGGGTTTGGGTGGGAGGGCATTTAGCTTGCATATATGATGGGATAGCTCAATCACATGTATCACAGCCACATGCTTTGGTCTTCCAAAAAGGATCAATAATGTCTAGTACCAGCTTTGTACGTAAAGAAGATCATCCCCACTTGCTTCAATGTAACTGGGACAGCTCAACCACTCAAGATAGCCTAGCAAATGAGAGATGATGAACATGGAGCAGGCAGTTAGTCTAAACAAAACATCTAGAAATATATTTACCAACAGTTTTGGTGGGAACCTAAGTGTTTTACTTCCATGTGATAGAGATATAGCTACTGCTAAATCACATTTTTTATTATTTTCAATTCACGTTTAACAGTTCCTTTGACTAAGTGATTCAATACAAATCCCTTAGTGAGAGTTATATGCAGGAACATAATTACTTATTTTGGCATTTCAGAATGTTTGAAAACCTTATATGCATTCTGTTTGCTCTCTAATTACATGAAAAATGCTTCCGCAAAGTAAAATTAAATTTAGCTGAATTCAGCCGTGTTTAGTTCGAGTAATAGATATATGGTTCCTTAAAATCCATTATTTTTAATAAACAAATAGCTCTTTGATAACGTGAGAGCATACCGACGGCAGGGATACGGAATACCAACGGCTTTGCAGACGGTGATTTCCGTCTCCAAATCAGAGAAGGTTTACCGAGGGTAAAGAGACGGTTTGGCTACGGAATAAGCCGCGGGTGATCAATTTTTTTGAAAAACCAACCTTATTATCTGCCGCGACTGTTTAAATAAAAGTACTTTTTTGGGAAAAAGTGATTAATAATAAAAGTTGGTAGTGTTTGATAAATAAGTACTTTTTATGTAATAGAAAAAGTAATAAATAGATTCTATACAAAAATGGAGAAAAGTAAAAGTTGATAGTGTTTGGTAAAATAAGTACTCCTTTTTTCCTTAAAAAAACCACAACCGCTTATTTTAATTGATTACAAACAGAGCCTCAATCTTCAACCAGACGTATAGTACGCATTGGGCCATGGCCCCTCCCACTTTTATTGGTTTTAAATACTATCATAAAATATTACTTCCTCCGTTCCTTTTTAATTGCAACAGTCAACATTTCACGTTTGTCAACGCACAAGTTTGATCATTAATATCTTTCATTCCGTATTAGTAAAAAATTTAAAAAATTCATATTTTGAAAATTTAGAATGAGAAGAATTTAACAATATTTTTCAAAATTTTAATTTATAATACATCAATTAATAAAATGTAGTCAAAGTAGAATATGTGAATAGTGTAAAAAGTCCAACGTTGCGACTAAAAGAGAACGGAGGTAGTATTTGGCCCCTTCCAAAAATTTATGAAGACAATATATGAAGAAAATTTATTGTAACTTTTGATTATACCTATTATTAGCCCTACTTTACTCGCATGCTAATTAATAGGTCTTTGCAATTTAAAGTTTTTTGCACCAGAAAGTACACTTTATGGCAAAAAAATTGACTTGGCGGTATAGTTTATGGTTAATTATCGGTAGGAAAGTGAATTTCCTTTGGGAAAGTACTCAAATTGCAAAAAATTATTAATTACATGACCAAAATTACAAGCAAGTGAAGCATCAGAATTCAGAACTAAAAGTGGGCACAAAGTAAATTTCTTGGACCGAAATTGCAAATTTTTCTTCACATTTTAATACTTGTATTATATCCCCTCCTAGAGTGATGTCTTGCTCCGCCCTTGATAGTACGTACTTCATCTTCTGCAAGCACATTCTCCATTCAATCTTAGCCATGCTTTCATCTTCTACATGTACATTTTTTTTGTACACTACAGGTAAGTTACTAAGTGAATTAGTAAATAATTGTTGCTACATAAAATAGAACAATACCCATGGTATATCTAGTGTTGCTATAGCATAAAATTATACGATGTATAAAATTGTTCCAAGTTTATAGTAACGGTAAATGTAATTACTAACAATTAGTATCTTGGTGGTATAAGTTAATGAGCTATTCCAATGATAAGAAAATATGTTGGTGTAGGTTTATACCTTTATTTATATTGACATTCAAAATTCCGTTAGAATTGCATAAACTTCTGCTACTATAGCTAAATAATGTCAATTTTAGCAATTTACACATCTGTACCAACGCTTTTTGTACTGTTGGTATTGACAATCTATGTAGCACGGAAACTCTTGGGAAGAGTACATTTCCATTTCAGAAATTCTACGGAAACTATTTGGAAACTCTCCAAACAAGCCTTTTATAAGCAAAAGATGACGTTTCTCGTTTCCCGTTTCCTCATGATTTTTGCGTGGCCGTGCAACATAGTTGATCATTTGCTTGTAGTGATTCTTTACGGGTGTTGTTCGTGTGTCCAAATGGTGGCAGCAGGGGGTGGAAATTTTTTATAAATGATGTTCCACTTTCGTTGAGTGAGCAAGGATAGTTTTTTAAGGTGTGTATATGGAGAAACAATGTTAATTTGTAATGATCATGTGGAGCATATTAAAATGGCGAAATGGGGTTGTTTGGAAGGATACAGTGATACACTGGATTAGGGCGCTGTCATACATCAGACAATGCCTATGCTCTCAGAGTGGAGGGAAGCTCAAGGGTCGGGCCCAGTGGCGGATGTGCTTTATGCAAGAGTGTTCTCATGAACACCCAAAAATAAAAAATACAAAATAAATGGAATATGTAAATCTAAATTAGAGTAATAATTTGTTTCATTAACTTTGGATGTCCCATTAACTTTTGGATGTCCCATTAACTTTGCTACTTTCTCTTTTAAGTAAAGAATTTGTGATTCTGATTAATTCTCTCTCCTCTGCATAAACTTCAACCACATAATTTTTACTTTATTAATCCCCGTGCCGGTCAAACTTGACAAAGTTATTAGGGACGGAGGGAGTAGTATTTTAAAGAGAAAATGTGTAATTTTGAACACCCAAAATGTAAATGCTAGATCCGCCACTGGACTCGGGCCTGGGTATTGGCGGGAAAGCAAGCCGAATGGGAAGGGAATGGATGGTTGGTCAGATAAGTCCAGGTGCGGGTTGGATTAAAATCAATGTTGATGGGGGTGGTCGATGGGAACAATGGTATCCAGGCTTGGGGTGGATTGCAAGAGATGATAAGGGGAGTTTGTGCGTGGGCATATGGAGGCAAAAGAGGTTGGCTGCTCACCGATGGAAACATAGGGATATGGGGTCAGAGAAGCTTTAATGGAAGCAAATATGCTTGGTTTGCAGAAAATTGAGAATGAAACGAATGTTTTTGCGATGGTTCAAAGTATTTCCAAGCAAGGAGGCTTCTCTTATTTGCAGCTTATTCTAGATGACATTAGTTCCATTCTTGAAAATCATAGTTTGTATCAGATTTTATTTTGTAAAGGGTCAGCGAATCGCATTACTCATACTTTAGTTAAGGCAGGCATTTCTTCTCCTCAACGTTGCTCTGTTTTTTTAGCAAGCTCCATATTGGATTGTAAACTTACTTTACAATGATTTAGTAGAGTAATGATATTTCTCATTTATTATAAAAAGATGGTTTCATTTTATTCTATTTGGAACAATTCTCCAAAAATTATGGATAAAACTGATAAAGTGAAATTTGGGACTATTCAATAAAAAGGCTCTTTTTAACCCAAAAAAAGGTAAAAAGGGCTCTTATTTGAAGACTCCAGCTAAGGATGTTTTTACTTGGACTGTAATTTGCTGGTCTGGTCTGGTCTGGTCTGATCTGGTCTGGTCTGGTCTGGTCTGAACTGGCTTGGTCTGGTAAGGTCTGGTTTCTTTGTATTTTTATAACTATCCAAGTCTAGTCTGGTCTGGTCTAGTCTGAACTGGTCTGGTCTGGTCTGGTCAGGAGCAAATTACAGTCCAAGTAAAAACATCCTAAGAGTATCTCCATTCATGCTCCTCATTTTTACGGTTTTATCGCTTGTTATTGCCATCTCACTCCACATAAGAAAATCCTAAATAATTTCCAAACCAATTAACTTCTCATCAATCATGATATTAATTTACCTAGATTTTCTATGAGACATACACGGCATCAATTTCAAAATCTCTACCTTAAATGCACTCACACACTTACATGCACTCTACATGCACTCACAATTCACAAACTATTACTCCGTTTAGACTTCATTTCCTATCATTGCATCAATTTCAAAAACTAATAAGGATTTCTTAATCTCAAATTAACTGGAACATTTAGACTTCCTTTCCTATCACTCAGAAATGTTTCAAGACAAGTAAGAAATGGATATAAGAGTATGTATTCAGTATTCATATTTCCCAATCTGATAGGATAACGAAGGACATTGTACACCAATACAAGAGTAATTTCCCCTGCAAAAAATGTTCTACTGACTACTACATCATAAGTTGTGTACTGTATAAAAGAACTGTGTACTGTAGCCTATCAAGATCTACTCATTGTCTCATACTAGAGATTATGGCAAGGAAGGTGTCCTCAGGAAAAGGTAGAGTGAGTCCACCCATAGGATGATCGAATCCAAATTCTTCTTCAGCTTGACTTAACAACTCTGGGAAGGAATGGTCTTTCAGGTATGAAATTGGAATGACAAAACGCTTCTTCTCGCTCTCGCCAACATACACAGCAAAGTGACCCTTAGGAATCTCACTTTCTCTGTTTGATCTTGAAGAAGACCTTCTGAGTCCTTGCTTAGGACGGAGGATGTGCCCCATACTGATTGCCATTTCCAAAATTTTCTTGTTAATTAACAAAGTTAAGCTGGAAAAAACCTCTGAATGCAGAGAATTTGTAATTTTGAATGAAGGAATCCCTTGAGTTGAGTGGGGTGAATGCCAAATGAGATGTGTTTATATAGATTAATGATATCTAGGAGGTGGAATGAGTAGCTAAGACAGGTTTGGGTGGGAGGGCAATCAGCTTGCATATATGATGGGATAGCTCAACCACATATATCACTGCCACATGCTTTGGTCTTCCAAAAAGGATCGATAATGTCTACTACCAGCTTTGCAGGTAAAAAACATCATCCCCACTTGCTTCAGTGTAATTGGGATAGCTCAACTACTCTAGATGAAGATGGAGCATAAAGTTAGCCTCATTAAATAAAAAAATATGAGAAGAACAATAGGAAGAAACACTGTTGACTGACTATGGGACACAAGGTGTTCTTGAAAAAATTTATGTTATGCCAAAAGAAGGGAAGGTGAAAAAAATCATTTGCATCCCTTCAAGACTTTGTTGATGCTTCCATTGCTAGAAAGATAGTAGTGGAATTAAAGAACAATATGAAGGAACACATCTACATACTAGATGAAGGCTATGCATATTATGTCCAGGGTCCTAATGATGTTGGAATAATATGCGCTTATGCGGAGTATATAATAGATAGGTGCAGAAACTAAGTTTACTATAAATGATGTTTTGACTGGGGTGTATACAAACCTCAAATCTATTCATAAAGATCTTTCTGGAAGTGGATTGCTTAGCTGATTGACACTTGAATTAGAGAGAAGCTAGCAAATAAGATACGAGATAATATGGTTATGTTTTTGTTTTAAACACAGAGAGACAATAAAGCCTTGTATAAAAACCATTCCCTACATTTCTTCTATGCAATTGAATAGATGGATATAGCTTAACTCCAACTTATTTCACAATTGTATGTCTCAGTATATGGAAAAAGCTCCAGATTCCATTTATTGCTAGTTGAAGTGAAATGCCACCCTTAAACTAGTGTGGTAGCACATTGTTTTGCTTATTTTTATTGAAACGGATTTCTCCATCCACTTCGAAGGGCCACAGTTATTCAAAAAAGAATGATACATTCCTGCTATTAGGCCACAATATAAGAAGTGAACTTCGTTTTGAAACTGATCATGAGATAGCCAAGCATGGCATTAGTATTCTTTCATTAAACCGCAGCTTGGAATGTATATCCATATTTCATGCATATAAGTTTGGCTTGATGTGAAAAAAATGTAAAAATTCCTCTCTATAGTTTCGATGTTCAACAGATATCAAATGTGATATTTATAGAGCATGATATGGACAGCTTCAAACCCAGATTATATCACTATATGAGATGTATTTTAAAATATAGACTACTTTCGGGGAAAGAAGTTGTGTGTGAGGAGCATCGACTGAAACCTATAGTCAGCTGTCAGCTTGTTTTTTGAAACAAATACTGTTTTGGAAATTTGTTGCTTATAATTGTTTTTTAACAGGTTATTTCATTTTTCTGTTTGCTTATCTTGTAAGAGCTAGTTCTTTGTTGCATCCAAGCTCAAGTAACTATTTCAAAATCACTTCTGACGAAACATTATAGTGTGTAGCAAGATAAAACAGAAAAAGTTCCAAAGGGAAATGGTAGTCGTAGTATGAAGTTATAGTATATTCTCTGAATAAACTGTACAAGAAAACACTTCTACCCAAACAAAATTGTTGGCTAAACTATACTAAGCCATCTCTATCTATATTCTGTAATGAAGATCATCTTGAGCTCGAGATGATCTCAAGGAAGGTAGCCTCCGGACAAGGTATGGTGAGTCCTCCCATAGGATGATCAAATCCAAATTCTTCCTCAGCTTGACTAAGCAAGTCTTGGAATGAAGAGTCCTTCAAGTAAGATATTGGAAGGACAAAGCGCTTCTTTTCACCATCACCAACATAAACTGCAAAGTGGCCCTTAGGAACCTCACTTTCTCTGTTTGTTCTTGAAGAAGACCTCCTCAGGCTCGGCTTAGTGCCACGCAGAATCTTTGCCATACTTACTGCCATGGTGGGAACTTTTTTTAGTCCTCAGAAAACTATTTGCAGATGCAGATTCTCTTAGGAGTTGTGTGAAGGTAGATTCTTGAGTTGGGATACCAAACTACGTTCTGCTTATATAGATCCACTGAGAGAAGGATTGAGAGGATTAGAGAGTTCCACATGGAAAGGCTGCCAGCTTGCAAAATAGAGGCATCAACAACTGGTTTTGTCTTCCAAAAGATGTATAACAAATTAGTTCCTTAAACATCATTAACCACATGATTCATTGAATCTTGAACACAAGGAGATATCCTAACCACTTCTGTCTTTACAAGAAAGCCTACCAATTACTTTAAATTAATGGATAATTGGGAAACAAACCATGTGATTTCACATTGTATGTTTGAGTAAATGAAAAACTCCAGATTCCGATCACATAGAAACTGAAAGAGACCCCACCACCAACCGGAAGGTGACACATGAAATTTTGCCTATTTCCTGAACAGATTGAACATATAACTTCCATATGCATTTCCTCAACACATTTTGTAGCTAGTTCACTCTTGTGAAAGGTAAAGAAACCCAATGACTTGATATTTTCTAATATACCACAGTAATTTATGTGTAACTGGAGTATGCTCATATTCACGAGACATTAACACATATTTGAAAGTAGTTAATATTCACTTTTCTCGATGCTACTTTATCGTACATGCTCTAGCAGTCTATACAAAGGACAATAATCACAGAACACACAACTTATCAAACCTTTACCATGAGCACCCAAATGTTGAGTTGAAGACTTGAAGGCAAATGATCATGAAAAAGTTAGCTTAGGATAAAGTAGTACTTAATTTTTAATTAATTTCATTGACAGTCCTCAACCAAATCTCTACATGTCATTGAAGAAATGTGATCCACACCAATTTCCATGTCAAATGATTACATTTGAAGTAGTGGCAGTGCTAAACTGAAAAACTGTAGAAACATTTTTATTGAATACTTATCAGCTGAAATACAAAAAATGTCTTGTAAATCATCTGAAATGTGTTTATACAGATATGAGGTTGGTATGACTGAAACTAGATCCAAAGTTCAATAGCTTACAAATGTATGATTTCAGGTAAGCTCCAAAGCTCATATTTATTGCTTTCTAACACCCTAAGTTTTTGTGTCAATGGAATAGGGTTAAAGTGTTAGTTTACAATAGAGTTTCCTGTGTATTGTATGTATTAGATTTAGTTACAGTGTTGTGATTAACAAGACAAATACGAAAAAGTTTCCAAGCAAAATGGTAGTTGTAGCATGAAGTTAATAGTATATTACTATATTCTCAGTATCAACTTTACAAGAAACTCTTCTACCCAAAAAGAATTGTTCACTAAACTAAACTAGCCATCTCTATGTGTTTTTTATAATGATCAACTTGAGCTACAGATGATGTCAAGAAAAGTAGCCTCCGCACAGGGTATTGTTAATCCTCCCATTGGATGATCAAATCCAAATTCTTCCTCAGCTTGACTAAGTAAGTCTTGGAATGAAGAGTCCTTCAAGTATGATATTGGGAGAACAAATCGCTTCTTTTCATCCTCACCAACATAAACTGCAAAGTGACCCTTAGGAACCTCACTGTCTTTGTTACTTCTTGAAGAAGACCTCCTCAGGCTTGGCTTAGTAGCGCGCAGAATTTTCGCCATAACTGCCATGGTTGAATGTTTCTTTCCTTGGTAATAAAAACCTATTTGTGGAAGCAGATTCTTTTCAGATTGTCTGAAGAAAGTATTTTGATTGATGGAGAATACCCAACTCAGTGGTAGTTATATAGATAGATCCACTGGGGGTGGATTGGGTGAGTGGCGTAGAGACACCTACGTGGAAATGCTTGCCAACTTGCAAAACTAAGAAACATCATTCCCCACATTCTTCAATGAATGTTGAACAGATAGGGATATCCTAACCACTTCTTTCTTTACAAGAAAGCCTACCAATTAGTTTAAATCCCTGGATTATTTATTACTACATGAAACAATCCATGTGATTTTAAATTGTATGGTTGTAGTGTAAGGAAAAACTGCAGAATCCATAGTTTCTGATTGAAGGTGACAGGCCCCACCATCCAGCCAGCTATGAGGTTGGTATAACTGACACCTTACCACATGGTGTTGTCTTTGAATTATAAATGGTGAAAGCTCAACGACTTATGTCATTCCAAGGAGACCTGCCAAATGTGATGAAGATGAATGGAGTACTCCGTATTTTCCAAGAAAAATAGATCAATTGATTAGAAAACATACCTTCTGATTCCTAATCGTTTGCCTATGTATCAGGCAACACTTGAGAGATCATATGTTTTTCTGATTGAGGCTTAGTGGCCCCACATGTCTAGTTGGCACAATGTTTTGCCTTCCTTATTTCCAAAGGAGCTAAAAGCTCGACCAATCATCCTAAAACTTTAAATAGATCACTTTTTTCTGCAGTCCGGTCATCCTAAAACACTGCAATCCAGTATAGTCAAATGCACATAGCTGCGGTACTCTCTTCAGACTAATAAAGGGCTATTTGGCTATCTGATTGAATCTGTCAGTCAAATGCATTGCCACCCTCAGTTACTCATACTCTCTGGTGTTTGTCTTGATAATGTTTTTTTATTAGCATTTGAATAGTGATGGGGGTGCTGGGTGCATGAGCCATTTAAAGAGATATACTTTCCTTTTGGAAGAGTCTATTGAAGCAGGAAAGTCACTTGCTAATCATACTTGGAAAAGGATGGGAATCAAGCAGGGAACCTCATTCTGGGAAGCATAGCTGATAGCATATGTGATAAAGCCAATCAATTGGCCAGCCACATTAGAGCCAAATTTGCTAAAAACATGGTCAGAAGCAATATCCCGAGGTCCAAGGCAGTTTTCTTTTTATAAGATTACCTAAGGGAAGTTTTTCTTTCAGCACTCTAGAAACTATGAGAGAAACATTACAAGGTTTGAGAAATAAGCTCTCAATAGATGATAGTATCAGTATCTTTCCGCTCAAAGAACTGGAGGTAGCTTGGTGATTCATTGGGTCTT